TGTGTGCATTTGTGTGTGATGGAAAGAGAGACAGAGAGAAAAGTGTTGGTTTGGGGGGAGAGAGCAAACCCAAGAATCCCACAATTACTACAAAGCACATGCCTAATGCATATTCAGCTCAGCATCTCCACTCATTGCCCTAGTTTCCTAATTAATGCTCCACTGGTGGGTGTAAATAAACACATTCACAGAGGTCCAAAAAACTCACAGCTAAATGCAGCTTGGTGTCGTGCATCCAGGAAAATAACAGAGGCACAGAGAGTCGATTTATCTACTTGACATTAACAGTGTACTGCCCTGTTTACAGTGAGATTTTGTTCTTCAACATCACAACGAACCTGTTATTTGCTATGTTGCATAGCTGTAAAACCGTGTCAGCTATTCTGCTGTTACGTTTTGGGGTTTGATAGCTTTTGTGTGGCCAGAGCAGATCGCCACAAATACTTTCATGTGCCAGCACACCGACAGCCTGCGAGCACAGGAGACACTGGTGGATGATCACAGGCACGAGCTGCATTTGCAAGCAGGCTTTTACAACACCAACTGAATACAACACTTCCTGTTTAGGAGCTCTGCCCAGCTCCTTGCACAAGACTTATTCAACTCCAACCGTTCACAGGCTTCTTTTAGATTTTGCCAGACTACTGCCACTTTGATAGCTTCACCCTCTTGGGGGAAATGTACCTTGAGAAATCCTAAAATACAGTAGACATATGCAGAGTGTATTTTCAAATGTATATTATCAAGTTGTTGATGCACAAAACAAAGCATTTGGACTTTTGGTCCTTTACATGTTACTGATTCTATCGACAAAAAACGAACATTGCAATGTACATGACAAGTCAGGGCAATTCTTGTCATATGAAAAATGTAAAGTTAAATATATACAGCCTGATTTAGTTGCATGCTAAAAAATACCAAAAGAAATTCCCTACCTGAGGGGAAGAAGGATTAGGACGTTTGCTCACAGGGTTCCCCTCCAGGGTGAGAGTTTGGAGTTTGGGACACAAACCCAGATACTGAATCTGGATAAGATCGTCCACAAGGTTCCCTTCCAAATCTAAAAGCTGCAGGTTCTCCAGCATGGCTACCTGACTTAGGTCGGACACATTGTTATAGGGTAGATAGAGCTCCTGAAGCAGGGACCAGGATCACAGAAAGTGAACACACAGAAAGAAACACATTGAGCAAGTGTAAATATAGGACCTTGGAAATATGTGGAAAGAATACATTCACGCCTCTTAAACTTTATTACATTTGTGCCACATTACAACAATTTCAATGTATTTTATTTGAATTTTATGTGATAGACCAACACAAAGTAGAGCAAAATCCTGAAGTCAAGCAAAAAAAGGTGGAATAGTAGTTAATGCTTTCTGCAAATTTTAATTTGAAAACTGTGCCATTTATTCAACACTCCTGAGTTAACGCTTTGCAAAACCACCAGTCATTGCAATTTACTGCAACTACAAGTGAAAGTCTTTTGGGCGGTCTCTCTCCACCAGTTCTGCATATCTAGAGAATTTCCTCATTCTTCTCTTCAAAACAGCTGAAGCTCAGTCAGAGTTGATGGAGAGCATCTGGGAACTTCCATCTTCAAGTCTTTTCAGAGGTTTTCAACAGGATTTAGACCAGGAATCCTCAAACCCAGGCCTCGAGGACCAGTGTCCTGCAGAATTTAGATGTGTCTCTGCCTCATCATACCTGAGTCACATACAGTTGGTTATCTCTCACAAACCTCTGCTGTTTTCTGCAAATTTTACTTTGAGTTGTTCTATCACATTGAAGGTTTCTTTTTGTGTTGTTGCAACAGGACAAACTGAAAAGAAGTTTCCGAGGTACAGATACGTTTGCAAGGATCTTTACTAACAAGGATAAACGCTGACCATAGTATGAGTTTTTAAGCAATCTTCTAAGACTATTACAGTCTACCTTAAGAGAATCAAAAGTAGAAATGCCGCTTAAGTCTTGAAGGCAGCAGTGAGACATCCACAGCACCTGCAGGTGGGACAGGGTGGTTCCCAAGTCTCTAGAGAGACAGAGAAGCACAAAGTAGAGGGACAGGCAGCGTACAGAGATGATACTGCTGTTGTTAATGAGAAAGGCCAGCTAAGTTTCATTTTAGAAATTAAAACAATTTATTTTCCTTTGGAAATTCTATTTGGCTTCTCTTCTGCAAATCTACCCCTATTGTACATTTTAAAATAAGTCAGCTTTGAAATATATCTAACCCTGGATCGTGCTCTCTACTAAAGCTCCCTTAACTGTGAGCAGGAAGCGCTTTCAGAGGCAGCACGTGTCCAACTGGCTCTGCTCCACTGGTCTCAGGGTGGAGCAGACAAATCTAACATTTTGTTTGCTCTTTTTCATCTTCCAGATATTTTTGAAATTATTACCAGAGATTTCAATGGCCCAGATGTGGCCTTCTGATGTAGCAGGACAATCTAAAAAAACAAAAGGGGGTTGATATTTTCCATCCTTTTCTTGTGAAATGAATACATTTGAAATGTGATACGAAACAAAACCCCCTCTATTGTGTCATTGTGAAACAGGTGGTGAAGCTTAAACAAGTGTATTGGTAGTATCTCCAAGATTGCAGGAAACATCACACCTCTGGTAGTCTAGTTTACAAGCTGCAAACTCTACATCCTGTGTTGTGGGAGAAAGTGGAAATGTCGGAGTATAGTACAACAGATTATAACAGCTGCACAACAGCGCAGCATTCCAGTGAACACTAACCTTCTTGATGCATTGTCTAACTCAGAGGACCATTTCTCATAGCGCAATAAGTGAAGCTTAGCAGTAAATTTCCCCCTTTCTCTTGATTAAGACATGTACTGTATGTTTTAAGAGAAAGATGTAAAGGTAAAAAAAAATCAAGCAGTGGATTTGACTTTTGCTTAAAGGATGAAATCCTTCTTGAATAGCATGGAAGCTTTAATGATGATTTACTGTAATTAATATCCTTTAATTACCATGCAAAAAAAGAAGATGACATCAGTGTTTTAGTACCTACCTCAATGACATAATGAAGCTGTTGTTCAGTTTCAGCTGCTCTAATCTGGGCAAGTAAGCACCTGCAAGAAAAACTGATAAGCAAAGCCATATTTCTATCACTTTTAATGACAGACGTATGTTGTATTTCAATACAGAAATTTCCCTCATTTTCAATTCATATCTTCAAACGTTTAGTCCTCCCCAACCCCTATGTCAAAGGAAACATGACTAAAACATGAAACTTGTGAACTGTACAGACAGTTTCCATTAATCATGAACTCCTGATGAAATCTAGGACTTCTGAGAGAACAATGCTGAATGCAGTAAACATTTTCCTTTTCAGTCATCACTGATGTAACGTCTTTTTCTAAAGCAAACAGCTGAAGCAACAACGGGCATTTTTGTTTCCAAGAAGGTTTGAATGAAAGACCTACAATACGGCTTGAATGTATGTTATTTCTCACCAAAGTCACCCAGTGTATTTTCTTGGGTGTCTACGCAGATCTCCAGATGGTTCACCAGAGAGAGGTCATGAGTACCGGACAACAGTTCCTGTAGAGGGACAAAAATAGATGACATGCCATACCATAATAATGCAGCTAAATTATATGTCTCCAAAATCTTAATTCTCTAAATGATACCATAAATGTGGTGTGAAGGTTTTTTTTTTTTTTTTGTCTGGCCGCACCAACAGTTCTCTCATAATAGTACCTTGCAATAACTATTCACACCCCTTGAACTTTCTCACATTTGTCAGATTAAAGCCACAAACTGAACTGTCTGTGGGAAGATTTTATGTGATAAACCAGCATATAAAAGTGACGTTCCAGAAAATTACACATGGTTTTCAAAAACATTTTTAACAAGAAACAAAAAAGAAATGAGCATCTCAGCAACTTGTCAGCGATTCAGTTTCAGAATTGTACTTTGTATTGGTCTATCTATGACATGAAAACTTTGTAATGTATGTGACAAAATATGGACAAGTTCAATGGGTATCAATATCTTTACAAGGCTGTAGTTCTATGCAGCAAATCCTTAGAAGAGGATGTGTTTCATAGACTCCACACTAGTAACATGAATGTTTGTCCATGAAGATGGAAAAGGATTGATTTCAAGGTGTTTTTGACAGACAAGCATACCAGTCTTTTTGGAGAAAGGTATGGTTCCACTGCTTTGTCTGGGTCTTGATTTGGTTTCCGGGCAGGAGTTGGGTTGATGCTCCCTGAACCGCTGAGCTCAGTCACCTGAACCCGTGCTGTACCGGGCCGCCCCACAGAGTCATGACACACGCTCATTTCTCACGACAATCTGAAGAAAGACGCATATGAACAATAATTATGAAGGTTTGTGAAAGGGTTCTAGTATCTCGCATTTCGCTGTAAACAAAGAAACAGTGCGCTGTACGTAAATTACACAAAGTTAAATATTTTACCTGACGCAAGAAATAGTCTTGTCAATACATTTTACAGATCATCTGAACATACAAAAGTTTACTTGGCAACCAGGGTCAACTTCCTGGATACGGACCCGTGGCTCATTGGGATATGTAGTTCTCGACAGTCATACGAAGTGTTCAGGCTACCGGTGGGGGTAGCAGAAAATAACCCATTATTAAGTTAAATATTTCTTTAAAATGTATCGTATTTTAAAATGTGAGCATAGCAAACGTTATGCATTCTGAAAATGTGACAGTTTTTAATTACCATAAATATTTGACTGCGCTTTCCAGTTATAAAGGTATATGTTTGCGAGTTTGAGTTGCAGATCATTCTATGGTGGCCTTGAGAGGACAAAAATGCAACCTTCATCACTCAGTTCGGATCAAAATAGACATTTTTGTCTTTAAAACTCAAATACCTATTCGTGAAAATTGAATTTATGTTTGTAGCGCTTGGGCGTTTTCATGGAGTGGGCATATTTCTCACAGTCCCTGAACGCATCTGTAACAGACCAGCAACCGGGGCGGATCTATGTTTGATAGAGCTGGGCGTGGGCTCTGTACTCCTCATCTCCTTCGCTCGGCTCTCACTGTGGAAGCACATTGTTCTACGCGGGCTCATCATACTGGAAACCAGTGATTCTTTTTTCCTGCGTATCACCGACTGAAAAATAAACCAACTCCCAGATTAGCAAATAAAGGACATTGGTAACCCAAAGAGACGTTTGGACAGATCTCAGGAACATTTTGTTTTTTTTTTTTTGTTTTTTTCATCTAACTGTGGCAACGGAATTGAAAGATTTCTTTCTTCCTCTGCGACTGACGAAACATCGCTTTTGTCGGTAATTAGACCTCTGCTCGTTGTGAGTATATACTTCACATTCCTGGGTTAGAAATAAGCTCAAAGGGTTTTTCTCTCCCCCTCTCCGGTATGTATCGCCTTTTTTACACGCTTTCGGTGTTTTGCGCACCGCATAAGATAGCGGTCCACAGTTAAAAAACGTGTTAGCTAGCTATCATAACATATATATATATTTTACTTGCCCACGGTGTGCCTAAACCCTTTCCTACCTTTTGTAACGGATATTTTTCTTTTATTTGTGCCTGAATGACTGAACGCCGGGTTGTGTCGAGTTTTGCTAAACAGTCTCAAAATAGTTGCGGTGTTAGAACTTGGAAATGAAGTGCTATGCTGGCCACTGGGTCTCCCCCCTTTTTTTTATCCGGCTCTGAAAGAGAAAGTGGAGGCTGTTTACGTATGGAAAAAAAAAAAAGGTGAACGTTCTTTTTGTGAACGCTCAGTAATGTTGGGAGAATCTTTAGTATTCGCTGATATTGGCAGCGCAGACAAATAGGGTGACGCCCCATCTCACTCCGTAAGAATTGAACGTATCAGTGCGGAAGTCAAAGTGTTTCTACAAGGAATTCACAGACACGGCGTGCAACCATCTATTCAATGAAAATGTTGGAGCTAAAGTTGGAAAGAAAAGGCAAATGGATCGATCAGTAATGTCTTTTCCGCAGTCGTAATCAGTATGTTTTTTTAATGCACTTGAACTACTTTTTTTTTCCAAATCACACAAAGATAGGTGGATAAAATAAAAATGTAAACTTAGTGTTTTAAAAGATTCCATTTTGCGATTGATCTATATATTTTAATATCTATTGTATCCTGTCGAGAGGTATGACTCAAAAATTGCTTAATTAAAAAAATCAAAGCTCATTGATGTTCTGAAACATTCAACTCCTTGTGAATGATCATAATAATTTGAATAAATGACAGCTAACTGACTTGAAACAGTGTCTGAAGGTCATATTGCATAATATAGAATACAGTTTCACCATTTAAAAACAGTGATGGAGTATCCCAACACGTTCAGTTTCTGGACCAGACTTATGGCGATAGTCTGTTGCCCTAGGAAAGCCTATTAGTCCATCTAAGATGAAGTATAATTGTGTGGACAATCAATGCACAACTATTTAGGGGTAAAATATAGACTGGCCTCTACTATGTTTGGAGTGATTTACTGTTGATTTACTGTTTCGAGGGGTTACTCTTACTTTTTTTGTTTCTTTTTTCTTTTCATTTGACTTGTCTCAAGGCAAATCAAACTTTGATATTCAGCAACAAGTCACTGCAGAAAATGTAAAAAAAAAAAAAATTAGGGACATCAGAAAAATGGCATCCCCATGACGAAACATGACGATGGCAGCATCCTGATCGTTGTTCTTTTCTTTATCTGTTCTGCCTGGAAACATGAACCAATTCAGTTCACATACTTCTTCAAATAAAACAACATATTTCAAATTATGATATTGATTGGTTCAAAAAAAATTGCAAGTGATTTGCGAATGTTCTCTCTCATAAATCGGTCATGATAGAAAATTCTCAAAACTGCAACTCAAAACAACAAACAAAGGTTTTTTTTTTCAGGTTCTTAGCCAGTAATTGAATCTTTACTCAAGTGACTGGAGCAAAATTTACAATCTCTCCAGAAGTAAGATATCCAAAACTATTAAAACTACTTTTAGCTACCACAATAAACACAAAGCTGAAGTACAAAATGTATTCAATTACAGTAATTATGGCAGAATCAGCATGAACACTACAGCCGTTGCAATGGACTGTTTGAGTGCATTGTTTGCTACGGTATTATATTTCAAGTGTTATGCATCCAAGCTCTGTAACCAAGTGATATATTTGGATAGCTGGACTGACTTTCTCTGCCCTTGATGCGCCTGACATCTGAGATACTAAAGCTTTTGATGGAGAAAATACCAAAAGAGTGACAAAGACGAGATGTGGTTTACTCCAAATTATTGCCCTCATTGCCATATTCAGCAACAATAACACAATTATGAGTTTTCCTAACATTGTGCTGCCTTAATGTGAACATCAGGTAGCCATAAAGTCGTTGATATTGGGTTGCTTCTTAATTTCTACAGTTTTTCTCAAAAGCCAAGGAAGGAGCCAACTGGAAAAAGTCCAGATAAAGGTGTGAATTTAATTTGCCGTCCTGTTCTGGGAACAGATGTGGCCTTGATATTAACCAAACTGCGTTCCAAAAGAAGTGAGAGTTTTCCGAGTTATAATTTTTTAACAAAAAAAGTAAGCTTACAAACAATGTAAGCTTACTTCCCCTTACAAATGTGCAGATTTGAAGCTCGAGTTATTTTAACCCCATACATATCACAGATTTTTATATATATTGTCTGCCTCCTACTGTAGATTAGTAATCCTGAAAAAGTGCAATTCTTCTGAAATATGACTGATAATTAATGAAACCCTGTGTAGGTTTCTGTTTCTCTAAAACATCTGGGTTCATGATTCACCAAGTCCTCCAGCTGCAAGAAGAAGAAGAAGAAAAAAGAAAACAACAACATAACTTCAAAGTTTTGGGATGTTTGGGGTACGATAAGCCTTGAACTGGCTGGGTTTTGTGTCTGTGTGTGATATGAGGAGGGGGTCAGCTAGCCTTTTCATCTCTAGCCTGCCGCCTGTCCTCCCACCCTGCCCGACAGGCTGAAAGGATGACCCAGTAGGAAAAAGGTCAAGAGCAGAGCGTTTTGGCCTGTATACACTCGCACATGAAGGTGCGATCTCGTATAAGAAAATGGAAATTCAGCTTATCTGCTCATCTCTTTAAATGAGCAGATACAAGTTCTGCTTTCTCTTTCTAACATGCTCCTTAAACTCGCATCCTCGTGTGCTATTGTTCTGTTTTGCTCAGAAAGGCGACGTATCATTTCTTTTTTGCTGGTCAGCACTTGTTTCAGTCCTGTTTTGGATGATGATGATGTCATTGGAGAACAGCGGGAGGGTGTGGCGGACTGTTGAGGTTTTAGTCCGGCTCTCTGAGGCTCACGATCTGACTGATACTTCCCAGGAGAGGGTCTCCTTACCATCATTGCGCCATTAAAGATCTATTATCTCTGCAGTGATTCTGCTTGTATGGATTCTATAACCAATTAAGCACTTTAATGGAGGGAATGTATGTTTATAGAGGACATAACAGATTCAGTTGTCTTGTTTCTTGTGCATTGGATAGATCGTGATGATATTGAGGTTTGTGTAAACAGTTTTTTGTTTATTTTTTTTTCTGACCTACTAGATGATATTTTCACTTTTTCATACTGCTGGTGCTATCTACACATTTTCTCTTTTCCGTGTTGACCCTTCTTGTGTGTGGTAGTTGTGCTCTTGGCATGCAGTGAGAGCGGATCTCCTCCCTCCCGCCGACCTGTTGCTTCTCCATGCTTGCGCCCTCCGTAAGCTGTCATGTAAGGTTATCCTCTTGGTCCAGGCGATGCTCTAGGGTTTCAAAACAAAATGTTAATTTCCCATCCTGGAGGTGATGTGCTATAAATACCTTTAAACTCATAGATGCTAGGGTAGTGTTCCCTCGTCTCTGCGAAGGTTTTTGGGACTTTGGAACAGAAATGGACGCCACTTGGCATGTTTGGTAGCTGCAGCGACATAGTTACTCTTTGTCAGCATAATCTTGCTATATCAGTGTTGCACCTGAGCTGCACGGCTGTGTCAACTACATCACTTTATCTTATTGTTGTCTTTTAGGGCTGTAACTAATGATTATTTTAGTTATTGTTTATTCTGATAATTGATCAATTGGATAGAAAAAATATCGTGACTACTGTACTAATGATGCTGAAAGTAGCAAAGACAATGATGAAATTGAAGGTTTGAAAACTTTCTAATTCCCGGCATCTCTAATAAAGAGCTCGACTGCTTTCTCCTTCTGTGTGCTAGAAAAGTGGACGAGGTTTCTGCAAACACAGACGACTGTGTTTTCATGCCTCCTTTCTATCTGCACAAAGACCAGCTCGGTTTAAGCCCCCAGTGACAACAAGTGGCTTCAAGAACCAGACAGCATCCATCAATGATTCATTTTGCTCTTCATCTCCATATGTATGTGTGGATTATTAATCAGATGCTCCCATGGCCTAGTTTGTGGGAAGATGGCATGAGTGTCTGCTTTGCTTCCTCTAGTCTGTCAGAAGCAGACGCAGGCAGGTTGAATCAGCATCTTAAGGCTATGCAATGCCACAAACTAGTCTTGCTGTGTGAAATTTTAGCTTTCTCTGTACTAATTGTGTTCTGTTGGCTGTTTTGAAATAGAAAATAAAAATATTTATAATTTTATATTCTATTATAAAGATGAACAATTGAGGGGAAAAAATGTATGTTTTAATTCATGAGATGGGAAAATAAACAACCACTTTGGTCACAGTAGCAGTCTGTGTTCGTTAAACCAGATGCCCCCTCCCTATTGGTCAGACGTTTGGTGGACTGGGTTTGGTCATAACTGGACAAGGCCACAGGATTGCACATTTTAGAGCTTTGGAAATATTCCAACACTTAAACGTTTGGTTTGAGATTTGCCACATATGAGCAGTTCCATAGCAACAAAATACAAATATATTTGAATTTCTCAATTCAGAGAGTGCTTATTAGTAATAAGCTATATGTTTAAGATACAGAGTTAATTAAGAGTCGTTTGCTTTGTAGGGATGTTCTGGGTCTTGATCACCCAGAAAACCTCCATCTGAACTCAAATTCTTGTATTTCTGCGTGTATGTACAAATGGACTTGCACAAATATGACCTTTATGGAAAATGGATGGACTAATGCTGACATTACAAATAACTGAGCACAATAAACAAATATGTGTCTCAAGAAAAAGAGTGAAATATTTTGTTTAAAAAATTCAGGCTTATATAACAGGAGTGCATCTGCCATGCAATGGGCTTGAAGAAAGAAGAGTGAAACAAGAGAAACTCTGCTTAAATGAAAAAAGGAAAAAATATATATATACAGTATCTTCTATTCTTCAACACATCTCAA